ATAGTTTAGCCACGATCACACTGTTTTTCCATCTAGAGTATCATTTTTCATTTGTCCCTCCTCCTCCTCCTCCTCCTCCTCCTCCTCCTCCTCCTCCTCATCATCATCATCATCATCATCATCATCTTCCTCCTCCTCTTCCCCCCCTGCTCCCTCAATGAATCCTTAGTTGTTCATGTGATGATAAATGCTAAATTTGAACTATGTAATTCAAAATCATACTCACATTTTAAACCATATTATTATTCTTGAAATCATATTTACTAACTTATAGATATACGATCCATATCATATGCTTAAAAGTACATAATTGCTTAAGTGTCATGAAAGTGATAGTCAAGTCTTCTAAAACATTATTTGCAGCATACAACAAACATGAAAAATGATCTCATCTCAAAATTCTTTATAATTTTTTAACTATTATAATGTTAATAAGTGACATTAGGACTTTTTTGTTCCAAATTCCATCCTAACAATACTAATTAATTATCTACAAAAATATTGCAGATTTGAATTGTTCAAAATGAATTTCAGTGCTGACAGAAATTGAAAATTGCATCTTGGCCAAAAAATGAAATCAAATATATATTACTTCATTATACTGACATTGTGATTGGCATTTAGCTGATCTAAAGCATTAGTATCATACTTTACCATAACTTTTATGAATTCAGAAATTGGACACTAGAAGAGCGTAAAGATTCCAGATAAATATATAAATAATAAAAACCTGACCTTTGTTTTTGATTAGTACTAGAATTAGTACTAGAATAAAGTAAGTTTAATAAAGCTCTGGTAATCTTTTTATAAACTTTGTGCTGATACCAAATCTTCATTATTTCTTTCTATTTCTCTTTTTCTCCTTAGTCTAGTTTGTACTTGCTTTTATTATTATAATCAACATTTTTCCAATATAAATTATTTAAAGAGTAATTAAATTAAATTAAGTTAAATTAAAACTAAGCTGCTATACTTTAAGTATAGGTATAGAACAATCATGATTGTCAATAAGACTTAATATATCATCACAACATATAATAACAATAAGAATTTGTGTTCAACTGCTTTAGGCCCCAAAGATCCTACAGTTTCCTCATAAGAGTTGTCAGTAGTTTCAAGATCAAATTAAATATAACAGAAGATAAAGGACAATCCTGGCAAGTTCCACAAAACTTTGTGAAAGTCATGGAATAATTACAATTACAATAATGTTGTCTGAAAGTTTCCAAATATCTGGTTTTTCAATTAATTGGTAACTCTATATGGCTACACACACACACACACACACACACACACAAACACACACACACAGAGTATATAGTTATGCATGTATTAATGGTGGTCTTGGATCATAAACAAACAAATAATTAAAGTCAATAAGTTCAACACAACCACCCCTGCCAAATCCAGTAATAATTTAATATTAACTGAAGCATGTTGAACTTTTATTAAATTAAATAGCACAGAATGGACAATTAAAAAGCCATTTTGGCTGTGGTCCATATGCTGGAGTTGCTATCAAAATTTTGGAAGCAACTATTAACAAGAGAATTGGCCAAAAGCAATCAACAGCCTTCAAAACCATTGTTCTAGAAGCCTCATTAAAGTTAGAAAAATGTGACTCAAAATGAACTGCCATAAACTTCCAATAGTATAGAATTCAAAGGTTTCTTTGGTGTTTCGTGCCAATTAATAGGGTAATCATACTGGCAGCTTTTTCTCTTTTCATAACTATCTATTCTGCCCCACAGTGACAGAGATGTGGCTAGATAAAGAGTTTAGCAATGTATAATCTTCAAAAGAGCTATATTGTTAAAAAAAATATTAATTTCTTCCCGAGTAACCTTTGGCTCAACATTATATACAGTCATATCTGAGAGAAAAAGAGTCTGTGTTTGGAATTATTTTATACTTTGTTCTAAGTATCCTTAAGATTAAAAAGATTAAAAATATTCTTCACTGTTACTGTTTCACTTTAGGGGCTAATAATTTATCATACTTGCCCCCTGCTCCCAATATCTTTGAATAGTCAGTATCATCGAAAGGATTATGTTCTAATTTAGGAAACAGAAAAGATTTATGTACATCTGGTATAAGTTTCATTGCATATATAGTTGCTTAATTTTATTTTCCAAATATTCTTGTTTAGATTTTTGTTTGTTTTTCCATGAACCATATGAGAAAATACAACCTTTAATAATAATGCACTGAAAGCAGCCCAGACTGTTATTTTAAAAAACTGTTTGAATATTCCTTTTATCGACTCTATCAAAAAAGAAAAGAAAAAGAAAAGAAAAAGAAAAAAAGGAAAAGAAAAGATATAATAATTGACAGTGTTATTGAAGCGTGACCAGAAATTGCATTTTGAAGTCAAAAAGATATGCACTCAAATAAACTGCAGAAGTGCAGATTAGGAGATAATTATATTGCTTTTGAAGCATAAAGGATCAGTCCATTTAAGAAGAGGGTCATTTGTGTTCCCGTGACATATGTTAATTGGAATAACGTATGCTTTGCTTCTATTGGTACCTTTCTACAAGATGCTGTTTGAAATCAAATACATGCTCAGCACACAATCCATAGAATTAGAGCTACTGGGATAAGAGAATGTTCAATGTTGTAAATTGACTGCAAAATAGATTTTGGTTTGCTATCCAAAGATACTTTACACTTTATTCTGTGCACAAAATGAACAATGCCAACGTTGTGCAAAGCAGCTGCACAATTTTGTCTTGCTGAGATAGAACAAACTCATTGCAAAGTAGATACCCTCCCCCATATTTCTAATTGGATCTGGAGGCTGACAGAGAAACAAAATTAGCAAGTTAATCTTATATAAAAGAAGAGAAGAAGAAGATTAACATTAACTAGGGACATTAAGCAAGCTAGTAATTATCTAAATGCACAGTAACAGACAGGGAGTTGTATTTAATGCTGCTTGTCAAGAGTGAAAATCATTAGGAGAATAGTTTTTTTCTTCTAAAACATTATTCCAGCATATTGGAATGACCTCCGGAAGTAATTTAGAAAACCTCTAGGAAATATAAGACACAATAGATTAAGTGATATTGGATGAGGTTCACTGTACATTTTTAAGGGAGGATATCTCATTTCCTAGTTTTGACCCCAATAAATATTGGTGGGGTCTTGAATGGTTTCATGGTCCTCACTGAACAGACTCCAATACTATTTAATTTAAACTAGGAAATGTAGGAGACAGTATGATTTTCATTACCTACATTTTATTATTTAATATTAGTAGTGAGTCAGTGAGACTCTCTCTCTTTTTCTCTTTCTCTCTCTCTCTCTCTCTCTCTCAATAAACACACACACACACATCTCTGAATGTAAAGCACAGGGAGAAGGCCTTCACATATATGTGTGTGCTATAAGGTGAATGGTACCCTTCATATTTATAGCTATACTTAGAAGATGACATTTTCCTTGTACATGTTTGTGTTGTACTTGCAGATACTCATACAAGGCATTACAATGAACATATGACATCTAGTGGGAGCTACATCATTCCCAATTCCTAGTCTCAGATTTGGGGATATAAAATACCTTAATACGATTCTTGGTTTTATTGCTTGAAATTCATCACAAAATAAGGGGTGAGAAGAATAAGGAATGTTACAGAAACACATATTCAGATATATCATATGTAAATTTTGCAGAGAAAACCTGTCAGGACATTTCAATTCAACAATGATATATGGTTGGTCATGGTTCTGTTTGGTCTTCTGCCTACCTGGTTCTTCATATCTTTTGACTACCTGGACATTTATTTATATTTAACCATTTATTAATTTATTTAATACATTTCTAATGTCATCATTTGTTTGAAATTGCCATAGTTGAAGTAAAAAGATATAATGCTTGGGTATACTTTTTCACTGGATTCAAGTATTATTACTATTTTTATCTGAGTAAAATCCCAAGAATATCCAAACAGCCTTGGAATGCCATTGGCATAACCTGAAATTAGCATAAATGAACCTTCTTTTTATTAAATCCAGAAATGCAACACAATGTTTTGTTTTGATTTTTTTTTTTTTTGCAGGAACAAGAGGTGGCTGGATGTTAAGACTTATTCTTAGGTATGCTTGGTACATATTAATAAGGTTGATTCAGTA